CATAGCTCTGGTGGCTTCCTAATACCGGATGGAAGAGCGTTCCAAACGGCCCGCAGAAGCGCATCTGAAAGCGCCGCGCGATGCCGTGACCGCCGTCTCTGTTCGACGGACAGCCACAAGCCGCCGCCGCGAGGGTGAGCGGAGTTCACGCGATAATTTACGCTGCTTGACGACATCAGCAAGATATTGTGGTTCTATTCTTTGGTTCTTTCGGTAAAGTCACGTATAAAGATAAAATTATAAATTAAATTAAATACTAGCATACGACGTTTCGATTGCAACACAAGCAATCATCATCAGGTATAAATTAAATAGAAACACAAATCTAGTATACTTAGAAATGTAATGTAATACAATAGCTCCGGTGGCTTCCTCTGTTGTATTACATTACATTTCTAAGTATACTAGATTTGTGTTTCCATTGAATTTATACCTGATGATGATTGCTTGTGTTGCAATCGAAACGTCGTATGCTAGTATTTAATTTAATTTATTATTTTATCTTTATACGTGACTTTACCGAAAGAACCAAAGAATAATTCCTGCAGTCACGAAAGCTCCAAATTAATATTGTGGTTCATTAGTGGCAAGCACTCCGTGTGTGATAAGCGCGACCCCTTGTCACATCTTCTCGCTCGGCAGCCGGAAGCAAACGCAGCTCGACTCATGCCGGGTCTACTCAAGCTTTCACCTGGGTTTTAAACGAACTATACACTCGTGTGATGTCTCCCAGCGAATGTCGTAGGCCAGGGGTCGGCAACCAAAATAACAAGAAGAGCCATTTATTTCCAATTCGGTACAAAATTCAGTATTTCAAGAGCCGCAATGCATCCGAGTACATACTGTACATACGTGCATATCGTCAAGAAGCAGCCCGTAAAGAGCCGCATGCGGCTCCGGAGCCGTAGGTTGCCGACCCCTGTCGTAGGCTCTCTAATCCACGTGTATATCCCCCCCCCCCTCTCTCTCTCTCAGCATAATCTCAGCTCCAGAACGCGTCTCTTCCCCGTCTGTTCGCGCGACTTTGTCGGCTTTCTTCCACGCCGCTTCGTCGCCACGTTGGGCGCTGCTCGCGGCTGACGCGACAAGGCGGTGACGCGCGCTGACACCTGGTCTCGATCGGCACGCCGGAGGTGCCTGTCACCTTTTCGTTGTTAAAAGCAAAATTAGAAAAAATTTGACAAAACGATTAAAAACAACCCCCCCCATCAAACTCAACCACGTTCATCAAGTACACTGCGCGCGCGCGCGTGGGTGTAGCTTTAAAAGGAAAACTAATTTTTAATAGGCGACGTTTCGGGTGATGCCCCTTCCTTGTATGTTTGCGATAGGCACTGATTGAAAACATTCAGATACATCGCAGCAGTAGACCTACCAATCTACCGCCTCTATATTGCGCGTGCGCACTTTTTAACCCCCCACCCCCATTCTGCTCCCCCCATTGCCGTGAAGAAGTCGGCACGGATCGATTCTCAAACGAGGTGGGGGTGGGGGTGGGATTAAGGGGGGGGGGAGGAGTGAGAAGAGGGGTGTGGGAGTTGGTAGTTTTGGAGTGTGTGTACTATGTGTGTGTGTGATATATGCGTGTGTGTGTGGTGGGAAGCGGTAGTCTATGTATGTTGAACTTCTTTCGCACCGTACGTAGCCAACCGTGCTAATTGCAAGTGGTTAACGCAGTGCGCTACGAACCCGGCCACCTGCGTTCGATCCGGCTCACGGTCAACATAAGTGGCGAATATATGAACATGTCCTCAGCCTCCCTTAGATCGACAGAGCCTTATACATGAGTACATAGTACGGTATGGGGAGACAAAGGCGGCCGGGCGTGGTGTTGGCCACTCACCCCGCTCGTGGCGGCCTTCATAGGTGCTCGCTAACAGCACTTGCCCCTACAGTCTGTTAGAGGCTAAACGGGGGATCTTTGTCTTTGTGTGTGTGTTTTACGTGGATTTATTGTGCAAGTGCGCTAACTCGTGCGCTTCGTGTTATTATTATCATCGTTTTTAAAGTGCACGAATTCATATTCACAAAGTCGAACTCCCCACTCACACAATCTCACACTCGAATTCACACCAACTCACTCGCGCGCGCGCTCACCAAAACACGCGTGCACTCGGCACACTCAGAAGCGACCAAACTCGCGCTCGCAAACTCGTCTCGCACACGAGGGCGTCACATTCTGACAGCTCCCTCGGGAGACGCCGAGCGCGTCCCCAACTCCTCCACACTCCGCCACCAAAGCGACACTCGCGCGCGAAAGCAACGCGCAACACTCCGCGCTGAAGCTCGCAACGCGCGTGCCCCCAGCTCCCTCCCGCTCGCTCGCTCGCTCACGTTTCACACTCGCCGGCTCGCTCGCACGCACGCACACGAATCATTCCCCCCCGTACAGCCGTAAGTCTTGGGGGGCAAAGTGCCGAGAGCGAGCGTTTGTGCAGGCCGGTACGGCGCACGATGTTAGTGGGTGACCAGCACCACATCCAGGCCGCCTTTGTCTCCCTCGTGTCGTTGTTTATACATCGCCCCAGGTACTCATTTGAGGCTCCGTCGACCCAGGGGAGAGTCCTGCTCACCGCTTCTCTACCGTTCCCCACGAGCCGGAGTTTAGCGGTGAGCCCACAGCAAGTAGTTCGTACGCGATCTCCCTCTCTAACACGCACGCGCTTTCACCACAAAGACAAAGATCCCCCTTATAGCCTTAACAGACTATTGGGGCAAGTGCCGTTACCGAGCATCTATGAAGGCTGGCACGGCACACGAGGGGGTGGGTGGCCAGCACCACGCACGGCCGCCTTTGTCTCCCTAGTAGCGATGTTTTTACGCACCGCACCAGGTAGTCATTTGAGGCTGAGTTGACCTAGGGGAGTCCCGGGACAGGTTCACATAATCGTCACCGGTGTTGGCCGTGAGCGGGAATCGAACCCGTGTCGTAGCGCAGCGTAGCGCTCACCGCTCCCCGCTCATCCACTCACACATTCACATTCACCCACTCACACATTCACATTCACCCACTCACACATTCACATTCACCCACTCACACATTCACATTCATCCACACGGACACGTCCGTACACACGTTGACAATCTCTCACACACAACTCACAGCGGCGACCCCCCCCTCCTCCACCCCCCCGCCCCTTCCATCACCCCCCCACCCTCCACACCGGCTCCTTTCAAACGCGACAACAACAACGACGAAACGAAAACACGGGGGGGGGGAGAACTATACCGAGTGTGAATTAATCCGATAGTGGGGGCGGGGGCCACGGGGGGAGGGGTGGAGACTAGGGGGGGACCTCCTGCTGGGATCTACGCTCTTGAGAGGGGAGTCATGGGGGGGGGGGGGTTGTGAGAGGGGGGCGAGGAGGAGGAGGGAGGGGGGGTAAGAAGAGGTGGGGGGTTGGGGAGAGAAATTCCTGGGCAGGATTAGGGGTTGAGAGAGAGAGAGAGAGCGAGGGGGGTTCAGAGAGAGCGAGAGGAGGGGGATTCAATGCCTCGCTTTGTGCGGGGCTCACAGGCGGGATCGGGGAGTCTTAGTCCTGCTGCGGTATTGCAACAGCACACACACAAACACATAGATACACACACACACACATACCAACACACAAACACATAGATACACACACACATACCAACACACAAACACATAGATACACACACACATACCAACACACAAACACATAGATACACACACACATACCAACACACAAACACATACCAACACACAAACACATAGATACACACACATACCAACACACAAACACATAGATACACACACACACATACCAACACACAAACACATAGATACACACACACATACCAACACACAAACACATAGATACACACACACATACCAACACACAAACACATAGATACACACACACATACCAACACACAAACACATACCAACACACAAACACATAGATACACACACATACCAACACACAAACACATAGATACACACACACACATACCAACACACAAACACATAGATACACACACACATATCAACACACACACATACCAACACACAAACACATAGATACACATACATACACACAAACACATAGATACACACACACACATACCAACACACAAACACATAGATACACACACATACACATACCAACACACAAACAAATAGATACACACACATACCAACACACAAACACATAGATACACACACATACCAACACACAAACACATAGATACACACACACACATACTAACACACAAACACATAGATACACACACATACCAACACACAAACACATAGATACACACACACACATACCAACACACAAACACATAGATACACACACACATACCAACACACAAACACATACATACACACACACACACATACCAACACACACACATAGATACACATAGATACACACACACACATAGATACACACAAACACATAGATACACACACACATACCAACACACAAACACATACACCAACACACAAACACATAGATACACACATACCAACACACAAACACATAGATACACACACACACCAATACACAAACACATAGATACACACATACCTACACACAAACACATATATGCACTCACATATCAACACGAACACTTACATACACACACATAGATACACACAGACGAACAAACAAACACATACCAGCACACACATACCAGCACACAGCAACACATAGATACACATACCAACAAAGTCAAAGATACACACATACCAACACATAGATAAACACATACCAACACACAACAACAAAGACAAGTGTTGTTAGCGAGCACCTATGACGGCGGGAACGGCACACGAGGGGTGGGTGTCCAGCTCCACGCCCGGCCGCCTTTGTCTCCCCAGTGCCGATATTTACACAGCACACCATATACTGATTTGTGGCTGAGCCGACCTAGGGGGAGGCAGAGGACCGGTTCAGATAATATAATCGTCACTGGTATTGGCGATTATGAGTGGGAATCGAACCCGGGTCGCCAGGTTTGTAGCGCAGCGCGCTACCCATTGCGCAACCGCTCCCCATACTTACACAAAAAAGACAAAGACCCCCGTATAGCCTTAACAAACTGTTGGGGCAAGTGCTGTTATCGAGCACCTATAAAGGCCAGAACGGCACACAACGGGGTGGGTGGCCAGCACCACGCCCGGCCGCCTTTGTCTCCCTAGTGGTGATGTTTTTACGTAACCGCTCCAGGTACTCATTTGAGGCTGAGTCGACCTAGGGGGGGGGCCCAGAACCGGTTCAGATAATCGCCACTGGTGCCGGCCGTGAGCGGGAATCGAACCCGGGTGGCCAGGTTCGTCGCTGAGCGCGCTAACCGCTACGTTACCGCTCCTCACAATACTTACACATACACACAGACACGCACATACACACAGACACGCACATACACGCACACACACACACACGTGTACTCCTCACACACGTGGGATTCACTTCTTGGCCGCGTCACTCAACGACCACTTCAACAGACAGAGCCGCAACCCGACCCCAGATATTAAACCGAGGTCGATATCATCTGCTCCTTGTGGCATTTAAACACCAGCAGCAACAACAACACTAACAACAACCACAACGACACTCACAATATCAACAACCTGAAACGAAATCTTCGTTATCCATGATCTATCCACTGCTGGACGAAGGACTTCTCCACACATCGCCTCACTTTGCCACTGCCACGGTACGCCCAACGACACCTGCAAAGCGAGCCGAGCTCACCAGCGCTCCGTCTCCGTTGATGGACGTCCTCCTGGGCGAGTTCCTCCCCCTCCCGCCCGCTCTCCCCTCTTCTCTCCTTTGACTGCCACTCCATCACTCATCTCGACCACGTAACCCGCACACCGTTCCGTCTCGCCGCGACGTCTCCTGCCCCGAGCTCACTCTCGCACTCGCCGTTTCTCTCCCGTCGTAAATGGGCGCCACGGTGGCTATGAGATGTTAACTACCTCGCGTGGTGTACAGGAGGTCGTGGGTTCGATCCCGACCCTGACGCCTGCTGCTGTATATTTAGAGTTTGCGTGTATCTCTCTCTCTCGCATCATCATCACGGTGGCTATGAGATGTTAACTACCTCGCGTGGTGCACAGGAGGTCGTGGGTTCGATCCCGACCCTGACGCCTGCTGCTGTATATTTGGAGTTTGCGTGTCTCTCTCCCCGTGGTCGTGCGGATTTTTTTCCGGGTCCTGCATTTAGAGTCAACATCAGGCGTTTGGAGTATTTGACTGCGATACATTTCCAGCTGCTAAGCCACTTCGTCGTGCTATCATTTGTGGCCAGGTTCCTTCTAAAAAACGAGCTAGATAGCTCAGTGGACCTCACCTCGTAAAATAAAAAATAGTTTCGCCTTGTTCTCTCAGACTGGTTGGGCAGTGGAACAGCATCTCGGATAAGTTAAAGAACCATTTGTGAGATTTTTTTAGTTTACGTTTTTAAAAAATTGTTAATTTAATCCTTATTTTTTATCTTGTTGTTTTTTTGTACGGCTGATGTAGATCCAGAACGACGACTTCATTTTCACATTCCGGTGGTCAAGCTCAGACAAACAGCAGCAGCAGCAGCAGCGGAGTTGTATCGCTGTGGCGTCTCCTTTGTATTTGTTGATCTGGTATTCTTTTTTAACTCGTTCATGAAGCCTGTCTTCGCCAGGCAAAAGTTTTCAATAAATATAATAACTAACCTGTTATGATTTTTTTACAATTTTTACGTACGATCAGACAATATCAACTACTCCAAAAAAGTTGTATTTTTCCGCAAAAAAAACACAAACATTTTTGACGACCTGATTCAACTTCTTATATTTAAAGAAGTACCCAACGGAAACCGCTCAATTTAAAGATTCCGTTATTAGTTTTTGTATGATAAAGAACCAAAAATAATTAACTTAATACTCTATTAGGGGAAACTCCTATATTTTACTGTTTTGGAATTATTCAGATTTGTACATCATAAAATACGTATGTCTGTTTTGTTAAAAACCGCTTTAATCCGAAATATCTCAAAAACAATAAAAGATCGAACAATGGTTCTCGCTTTAATTTTATTTGCTGTTTAACGCTATCCAACGAAAAATCCCCGCAATATTATTGTTTGAACGGCTTGTTGAATGACAGGCACAAACATGTTCATGGGGCACTTAACATCGAGATGTGGAGGTCTTAAAATGAAAAACTCGGACCTTCAGATTTTTGTTGTTGTTTGTGTCCTAAAATCTACCTATGTACCAAATTAAAGATTTATACCTTGTCGGGAAGTACCCTAGAAGTCTTTGAGACGTGCAAATTAAGGTCTTTATTTATTTATATAGAAGCTGATATGTGCTGTTGCTGTTATTGGATTCTTAAATGTGTTATTGTTAGTTGTTTATGTTCGTCTCCGGCTACGTTTTTACCCAATCCTGACAAGCGGGGCTCAACATCTTCATAAACGATGTTAAATTGTCCCCTCCTCCCTCGTCTCTATATAATCTAACTTCATGCCATTACTCAATCTCCCAATAACTTTCCGCAATTTCTCAGTGGGTTTCTCTCTCTCCCTCTCTCACGTTCAATTTCATTCATCGGCGTTCCCCACGTGTCGCAGCATGCAGCCAAAGCAAGCGCCCATGGACATCTCAGTCGACATCAACTCGAACGCGTCCAACGACGATTCCGTTGCGCGGACAGCCCGTGGGATCGCGTGGCGAGCCCTTGACACCGGCGATTCTAAACCTTTACTTGCAGCCCTGCACACCCCCTTGATTCTCAATCGCTAAAAAGAATATATACAGTATGTATAACCCTCTTCTTGGTTATTTCGGTAAAGTCACGACAGATCTGGTCTTCACCTGAGGACGGCTGCTTGCGTTGTGGCCGAAACTTCGTGAGAATTATTTTATTATGTGTTATTTATTATTATTTTATTATTACCCTTCTACGTGACTTTACCGAAAGAACCGAGAAAATAAATCCCTGCAGTCACGAAAGCTTTAAATCGAAAGTATGTATAACGTTAATAGGTACTTACGTGCCCGTGTTTTTTGTGTGTGTTCGATGATTATATAGCTTCTAAAAACAAATCTGCTCGTGTCTCGCACCCCCAGAAAGGCCATCTCGCACCCCAAAGGGGGTGCGTGCCCCCCATGTAAAGAACCACTGCATTACACCGATTGCCCCCGCTCTGGGAAGCTCAGCAGGGGCCGGGCCTGTTTAATGCAGGGTCCCCTCGCTCTCCGCGGGCTCGGCTCGGTGCGATGTCGCGCCGCACACGCGGCTAACCTGTTGTGTGTACTGTGTGTGTGTACTGTGTGAATACTGTGTGTGTACTGTGTGTGTACTGTGTGTGTACTGTGTGTGTACTGTGTGTGTGTACTGTGTGTGTGTACTGTGTGTGTACTGTGTGTGTGTACTGTGTGTGTGTACTGTGCGTGTACTGTGTGTATACTGTGTGTGTGTACTGTGTGTGTACTGTGTGTGTGTGTACTGTGTGTGTACTGTGTGTACTATGTGTGTGTACTGTGTGTGTGTACTGTGTGTGTACTGTGTGTGTGTATATACTTTGTGTCTACTCTGTGTACTGTGTGTGTACTGTGTGTACTGTGTGTGTATTGTGTGCGTTACTCAGCATGCAGCTGTCTCGCATACAGAGATACACAACACTATGTGTGTACTGTGTGTGTGTACTGTGTGCACTGTGTATACTGTGTGTACTGTGTGTGTACTGTGTGTTACTGTTTTCACTACTTGGCAGACAGCTGTCTCCTCTTGCCGTTTCGCTATGCGCGTCATTTTTTGTGTTTTTTTGGAACGCATCTACTACTACTACCACCGCATAGAGCGAGAGAACCCTGTACTTGGATGAATACCCCCCCACACCCAGCCGCGATGTGTCACGTTCCCACGTGTACTTGTGTGCCTATCTGCTATTCTCCAGTGTAAACTAATTAAACAGTTAAGCACCGGCGGGCATATGCTAATGGCTTGATTGATTGGTCGGTTGATTGATTGATTGATGGAGGGTGAAAATCTGCTATGCGGGAGGTCGGTACCACTGGGGGAATGAAGGGTGGAGAGTTTTTAAACTGCGAGGGTTGACACTCATCCCCCATCGCCCCCCCCTCCACCCCCCCCCCCCCCGTGCCCCTACCCGGGGGCATTCCAATCGACTAAATCTCTTGATCATCATCCTCCCCCCTCGTCCCTTACGCCCCCTCCCCCAAGACACACACCGTCCACATCCCTGCACCCACACCAGCTAAGCCAGTAACACCACCTACCCACCCACCTACCCACCCACCTACCCACCCACCTACCCACCCACCTACCCACCCCTATCCCCAGTCACCCACCTACCTACCCATCCACCCAGTCACCCACCTACCCACCCAGTCACCCACCTACCCGGTCATCCACCTACCCAGTCACCCACCTACCCACCCACCTACCCAGTCACCCACCTACCCACCCACCTACCCACCCACCTACCCACCCACCTACCCACCCAGTCACCCACCTACCTACCCATCCACCCAGTCACCCACCTACCCACCCAGTCACCCACCTACCCGGTCATCCACCTACCCAGTCACCCACCTACCCACCCACCTACCCACCCAGTCACCCACCTACCTACCCATCCACCCAGTCACCCACCTACCCAGTCACCCACCTACCCAGTCATCCACCTACCCACCCACCTATCCACCCAGTCACCCACCTACCCACCCATCCACCCAGTCACCCACCTACCCAGTCATCCACCTACCCACCCACCTACCAACCCAGTCACCCACCTACTCACCCATCCACCCGGTCACCCACCTACCCACCCACCTACCCAGTCATCCACCTACCCACCCAGTCATCCACCTACAAATCCACCCACCTACCGAATGAACCATCTACCCACCCACCTATCCACCCATCCAGTAAACCATCTGCTCACCTAACCACCTGCGCAGTCACATACCCAGTCACTCATCCACCCAGTCACGCTGCCACCCACTCACGCACCTACCCGCCCAGTGACTCGCCCAGTCAACCACTCACCAACCCAGCCAGTCACCCACTTAGCCACCCATTCAGTCACCTATCCTTTCTCCCACCCACCCAGCCACGCACCGATGACCCTACCTCCCACCTACCCACCCACGCATCCACCTATTTCCCGGAGGTACTGGTTCCCATTAGAACCGTTGCCGCTCCGTGAACTTTAACCCTGCATCACCCTGCCGCTCAGCTCCCTACCCGGGTTCGACTCCTGACTGCTGTGTCGCTGCTTTACTGCACGGGTGGGAAGCTTCCAACCCCTCATCCGCGTCGCCCTCCACCCACGTCGCCCTCCATCTGCGTCTCACCCCTCCCAGGTCACCCTCCACCCACATCTCACCCCTCCCGGGTCTCCCTCCTCCTCCTCCCAGCTCCTCCGTTCTCTCCTCTCCAGGTCTCCCTGCTGGGCAGGCTTTGCTTCATGAGAACATCGCCGCCTCTGTATCGTCAGCAACATCACATCAGCGGCGGTAAGAACAACTGATGTTTAAACAACATCGTCAATTATTATTAACATCATCAGAAGCAGCAGTAGCAGCAGCAACATCAGCGGTAAGAGCAGCACACGTAGAAGCATCATCATCAGTCTTGGCAGCAGCTGTAACATCACCATCAGTAGTAGCAGCAGCAACATCAGCGGTAAGAGCGGCACACGTAGAAGCATCATCATCAGTCTTGGCAGCAGCTGTAACATCACCATCAGCAGTAGCAGCAGCTTAACATGCGGACTCTTGAACTGTACAAGCACCACAGGAATTCACTCCGCTCACCACAAGGACGCGTGAGAATGCGACGCAAACTTATTACCATCACCATCTTCACCAGTGGCCACTGTCACCACCATCACAACTCGTTAACCTATTCTTTGGGTCTTTCGGTAAAGTCACGTAGATAGGATCAAAGAAAATAACAAAAAAATAACGAAAAAACTACGACGTTTCCATCACAACACAAGCGATCGGTCATCATCTTTTTTACTTCCTGATGACGATCGCTTGTGTTGTGATCGAAACGTCGTAGTTTTTGGTAACTTCTTTTGTTATTTTCTTTGAACCTATCCACGCGACTTTACCGAAAGACCCAAAGAATATGAATTCCTGCAGTCACGAAAGCTTTAAGTCAAAACTCCTTACCCTCCTCACTATCATCATCATCATCACCAATGGCAGAGCCAGGATTTTCAGGTAGGGGGGGGGGGCAACCCCTCCAGCAATGAAAAGTGATAGAGGAGTTGTTAGTAAGTGAGGAGTTGTCCCTTGCTTTTTATTCGACGCGTGTGCGGCGATGGCGCAGCAGTCGATCGAGGGTCGAATTCGAACCGCGTCGTGTGATCGTCATCGCGCTCGCTGGAGGTGTTGATGCCTTCAGGGAAGTCGTGTACTGTGTACGCAACTGCGCACAATTCTGTGAGTCACTTATAACTGCTTTGCCGTTACTTATGGACTCAGACTATTGTCCTATCATCTCATAGAGTCCCTGGCACGTAATAATATGCTACACAGTGGAAGTGGGGGGTTGCAAAAATGCCGATTTATTACTAATAAATCCCAATGATTCGATCGAAATTAGGGATTTCGATCGGATCATTGGGGGGGGGGGCACGTGCCCCCCCCCACTACCTCCGCCAGTGATCATCACCGCCACCTTCACCACCACCACCCCCCGTGCTCACTCTGCTCCACGCCGCCTCCGATTGTTTTGGAATTGCTGAGTCCTCTCGCCGCTCTCCACGGAATGCGGAGCTTAGCCACTGCTGCTGCTGCTCAAACTACTGCTGCTACTCCTGTTGATACTGCTACTGTTGCTGCTGCTCAAACTACTGCTGCTACTGCTGCTGCTACTGTTGCTGCTGCTCAAACTACTGCTGCTACTCCTGTTGATACTGCTACTGCTGCTGCTACTGTTGCTGCTTGCTCAAACTACTGCTGCTACTCCTGTTGATACTGATACTGCTGCTACTGTTGCTGCTGCTCAAACTACTGCTGCTACTCCTGTTGATACCGCTACTGCTGCTGCTGCTACTGTTGCTGCTGCTCAAACTACTGCTGCTACTCCTGGTGATACCGCTACTGCTGCTGCTACTGTTGCTGCTGCTCAAACTACTGCTGCTACTCCTGTTGATACCGATACTGCTGCTGCTACTCATACTGCAGCTCCGACTCATACTAATGCTGCTACTGCTGCTACGGGTACTACCGGTACCGTTGCTGCTGATAGGTACACTGCTGTTGCTACCAATACTGTCGCTACCGCTGTAACTTCTGCTGTTGCTGTTGCCGCCGACTTGCTGCTACTACTGCTGCACTTGCTGCTGTTTTCTATAGCTGCCACTACTGTTGTTGCTACTACGACTGCTGCTGTTGCTTACTGGTGTTACTACTACTATCGTTGCTAGTGCTGTTGCTCGTCTTACTCCGCTGCTGCTGTTGTTACTGATATTACATGCGCCGCTGTCGCTAGCCCCATTGCTGTTGCTAATACTGCTGCTGTACTGTTTGTACAACTGCTGGTAGCATCGTCACTGCTGCTGCTGCTGCAAGAGAAGTGTCTGCGGTGAGTCTCACACTGACTCGGACGGCAGGAACCTGGGGCAGAGGGAGGCCGGTGAGTCCAGACGGGAAGGAACCGCGTCACACGCACACACACACACAACACACACGCAACACACACACCCAACACACACACACAACACTCACACGCAACACACACACACCACACTCACACCACACTCACACACACTCACTCACACAGACACACATACTCACACACTCACACACGCACACACGACACACACGCAACACACACACACCACACTCACACACACTCACTCACACACACACAGACACACATACTCACACACTCACACACACACAACACTCACACACACACACGCAATACTCACACACACACGCAACACTCTGTGGTGAAGTATATTTTTCTCGACACACGATTTCGTGATGATGCTGCTGTGTTGGCAGTGGTGCACAAGCACAGGCAACAACACAAAACAAAAACTCAGCACGTTCGTCAATAACACCGTGGCCTTAAAAAGAACAATAAATACTGCCTATAATAGGCGACGTTTCGGGCAATGGTCCCATAACTCTAAAGGCCAGAGAGATAAAGTGGTTAAAACTGTGGCATCTATATTTATGTGCTATGAAGAAGGATCATTGCCCGAAACGTCGCTTAAATATTTTGTTTTATTTCGATATGAAATGCAATCGGAATACAATCGGAATAAACAGCCTCAAGAAGTTGCTTTAACCGCCTGAATTAAAATCATGTTTTAATTTATCGACCAATTATTTGGGGTTTCCGATAACGATACTGTACAATGAATGTAACGCCTCTGAAAGAACGTCCGGGGTAGAGATGGAGCGATGAATTTGGCTCCGTGTGCAGGCGCCGGGTGGATCGTTAAATAGCGGAACCGCGAGAGACAGCGGCGGCGGCGGTCTGGCCAGTAGGCATTCATCCAGAAGTGGATAGAGCAATGCTGATGATGATGATGATGCTGCTAATGATGAGTAAACGATAGTGAATTAACCGATGCAACTTTCGGTCATTTCCACGACTGGACGGATGGAGGGATAGCCTCAATGCCATGTTGGCCGTCGGAGTTGGTTTGACCATACTTCACCACTCTGGTCAACGCGGACTCGTGCAAAGAGATGCAGCTCCGCGTCGGTTTGTACGGAAGCCCTAGCCACTGGCCGACGCGAGCCGTGGCCGGAAATTGAACTCATATCGGGGGAAATGTAATTCCAGCGCCTTCAAGCTCAACGCGTTACGCGCCGTACAGCGGCACATTGTATTTGTTTACAGCAAAACAAACGAAAAATCAACTGGGGGCCGGTTCCTGTCTTCGGGGGTTTCATCGGCAGAGTTGCAGGCCTTGTTAAACAAAGTGCGGCTGGGGGGGGGGGGGGGGTTTACAGGCATTGCTGTTGTTGGCCAGACGGTCCCAGAACCCGTTCAGAGGGTTCCTGACTTCAAAACGCGTTGCTCGTAGCGAACGTCGGTTCGGAAAGCCAAAATATGTAATTTGTACTCGAACAATAATTACAGTAAAACCTTGGATTGCGAGTAACTTTGGTCTGCGAGTGTTTTGCAAGACGAGCACATTTCTTAAATAATTCCTAATTTGATAAACGAGCGAGGTCTTGCAATGCGAGTAGTACGTACTATACGCTTTGTCTGCCGCGCGCCACGTGATCACAACTGATATACGAGTGCTTTGATATACGAGTGCTTTGGATTACGAACACGTTTCCGGAACGAATTATGCTCGCAATCCAAGGTTTTACTGTACTTGTATGTAGATGTACGTAGCGGCGGAGTGCTGTTTAGACGTGGTTACGACCTGCGATGCTCCACAGTAGAGCATGCATTGTGTTGTGTACCACACGCGTATGTCGTTACGTGACAGTGCTCGCCGAACTGCGTTGGCTTCCCGGTTGGCAGACGAACACATTATAAGGTAGCGCTCATTACGCACAACAAAGTGCTCGCCACAAACGAACCACAATATACCTCGCTGATCACGCCAAGGAGCATAAACGACGGTCACGCGAACTCCGCTCATCCTCGCGGCTGCTTCGGGCTTTTTTGCGAACCGTCGAACAAATGCGGTGGTCACCGCATCGCGCGGCGCTTGCTGATGCGCTTCTGCGACCGTCTGGAACGTTCTCTTCCTGCCTTTGTTAGGGCGCTACTGGAGCTATGCACTTTTAAGTCATCTAGCTTGACAAACGAGTGTTCTGCACTTGCTTTAGGAGACGATGAATTATGCAAACACTTAGACAGCAGCCAGACTTTCTTTTAAACCATCTCGATTGAAAACTCATTTCTTTAGGACCGCTTTAAGCGTTTAGTTCGTTGTCCTTACCCCGCACCTCCGATGAGCACGGTTGCCTACGTACGGTGCGAAAGAAGTTCAACATACATACATACATACATGATGGTGGTGGCGATGTTCAAGATGCGGGAAACTGGAGCGCTCTTCCTTCCGATATTAGGAAGCCATAGGAGCCATGCACTTGTCACTCGTCTAGACTGAAAATTAATTTCTTTCGGACTGCTTTTTGCGTTCAGTTGTCATCCCACCGCACCTCGGATAAGCACTGTTGGCTACGTACGGTGCGAAAGAAGTTCAACGGAAATACATGGTGCTTCAAAAACATGTGAACACTTACATGGGACTATCGTTTTTAATGGAAAAGGAACGGACAAAAACACTGTAACACGATCACAAATGTAATGTCAGTCGCTTCAAAAAAGTAAATTAGTCTCCACTTTTGGAACCTCATTTGCCAGTAAAAAATATGATAATTGTTTTTTTACCCTTCTATCTGGCAACAAAACTGACACTTTTTTTTTACAAGGAGTCATGTTTGCATAGACCACAATACCTGCAGCCATAATGCAAACGAAAAACATAACTCTGATAATATATGTGCATATATAACAACACTCTGATAATATATATGCATATATTATATGCATATATATTATCAGAGTTATGTTTTTTGTTTCATTATGGCTGCAGGTATTGTGGTCTATGCAAACATGACTCCTTGTAAAAAAAGGTGTCAGTTTTGTTGCCAGATAGAAGGGTAAAAAACAATTATCATAGTCTACACGTGTTCGCCATCATCGTCAACGCGCGCCTGGAATCTTCTCCAGGCGGTCTCTGGAGCCCGGATGCGGCACATTTCTCGTGGTTGTTGTTGCAACATTCTCAGAAGTGTTCACATTTGTTTGGAAGCACTCTGTGTACATACATACGCCGTAGACTGTGGAGTGAGCGAACGAACGAGCGAACGGAGTAACGCGCCGACCGTGTGGGCACCACGACAGCTTTGGAATCTTGAACGTCTTCAGTTGTTCTCTCGTATGGCTGCTGTGGTAGATGCAGAGCAACGCCTGTCCACACACACACCCAGGTGGCTCGAGCTAGACAGTCGCGCTAGGAGCAGCGGAGTATATCGCTGGGACTAAACATTACTAAACGCGTTCGTCGATATCACAGGAAATATAGATGTAATCGGCGACGTTTCGGGCAATGACCCTTCTTCATTGAGCCACGAAGAAGTACCATTACCATTGCCCTCTACGCCGCATATATATATTTAGTTTCGCCTTTTAAAGCAACACACACAGAGGTATTATTGACAAATTAATTGAGTTGTTTTGTTTGTTAAATGTGCTTGTGTGTATGTATGTTGAAAGGGTCTTGCACCGTGTCAATCGGAGGTGCGGGGGGGAATGAGAACACATGCCACACAAAAAACAGTTCTCAAGAAATTAGTTTCCAATCGAGACGATTTAAAAGTGCGCAGCTTCAGAACACCGCTGCCAAACGCAGCAGCAGCATCACCAAGCAAGAAGTTTAATTTGAAAATTCGATAACAATCAGCAGCATCAGCAGCATCAGCAGCAGCAACGGCGGCGGTCATGTTCAATCCACCGCTGGATGAAAGCCTCCCCAAGCCGCTACCGCTGCCACATCTTAAAGATGCGAACAACGAATCCGCCCGTCGCCTGCAGCACGGACTGCTTTAGTCGTCGGTCTCTCGGACGCGTTCCATGCCCTTGGACTGCCGCTCCGTTACTACTCTCGACCATTGGCCCGCGATCCCTTCAGAGGTCCAGAAGAAGTTGCATTTCCCGAACAAAAGCCCGCTGAGCTAAGGAGCTTATTGCTTGTGTTGCGATCGAAACGTCGTGATTTCATTTATTTTCTACCTACGTGACTTTACCGAAAGAAGCAAAGAGTATGGATCCCTGCAGTCACGAAAACTTCAGATCTAGATTAAGCTTATTGCTTGTGTTGCGATCGAAACGTCGTGATTTAATTTATTTTCTACCTACGTGACTTTACCGAAAGAACCAAAGAGTATGGATCCCTGCAGTCACGAAAACTTCAGATCTAGATTAAGCTTATTGCTTGTGTTGCAAAGTTGATTCGGCCTTTCAGTGACGCCAAAGTTGATGAAACAACATAACACATTTAATTACTATATATAAGTGATTTAATTACTTCGTATATATTTTGTTTCTCCATCTAAAAGTGAACGTCTGAATCGCGAGTCGTAGCATTAGCGAGTTAATTATCGCCAAGCGATGCCACAACTAACACGTGAGCAAAGATGCGTGGAGAGCACGCACGCTCGGAAGTGTTACTTGGGGAGAGAAAGCACACACACACACAGATATAATACACAACACACGACGATTTAGCTCTGCTCCGAAGTAGGACCATGGCGCGAATCGTCGGCCTGCGATAACTTACTTGTCTTTGCCAATTTTTCGATGTAAAGCTTTCGTGACTGCAGGGATTCATCTTCTTGGTTCTTTCGGTAAAGTCACGTAGAAGGGAAGTAATACAATTAAAAAAAACATAATAAAATAATTGTCACGACGTTTCGGCCACAACGCAAACAGCCGTCCTCAGGTGAAAACCAGGTCTGTCGAGGCGACAGCGTCTGAATGAAACAGCACCATGCTTGGAGCGTATATTAAATGAGGAATGTAGCGAGATGTCTGACTTGCGCTCCTATCGTGAAGACAGTCTATACATACAGTATATAATGCGCGAC